CTGATAACCGCTAATAATGACCATTTATTAGGATGATAACATCTGAAGCAGCTGCAAACAGCCACTTATATTGGAAGACAGAATAAAACTGAGAACCCAGGACATGTTCTGGAAAAGCGTTTTTATTCTTCATCTTCACCTGCTGCCAGATGATTTCACCTAAATACCTAACCTACCATTAAAGGAATAAACCCATAATATGATCTTGGTTAATTCCTGATATCTGAAAAAAAATAAAATAAAAATTTCAAAATGACTATTTCAAACAAAATGATGTTCTTCATGGAGACATCCAGAATGAACATTCTGGATGTCTCCATGTTCCTATTGTTACTGGTCAGCATTTCTATAATTTGACTACTTCAGATATAAAAACATGTTGAGTCAAGCTGATAAATGTTCTATCTGCAAAAATATTTAAAAATGTCTTAAATTAAGTGTATTTACCCTTAATTTTAGTTGGTATAAGGAACCATGGGATGACTGTTTTAAAAAATAATAATCATTAATATGTTCTTGAAGAGACCATGCAATTATTTTCTTCTAATTTTTGTTTTGATGTAATTTCTGGAGTCCAGACTCAAACATCTCATACATGTTTTACACTTTATAATAAATTGTAAACTCTATGATTCAGCTTGTGATTTATATTTATGAAAAAGGCTTTGAAATGAAATGAAGTCGCAGGACGAAGGTTTAGATGAGAGTAAAAAGTTCCTGATGGTAAACCACCCAGAACCGTTCAGAGAAAGAAAGAAGCAAAGAAAACTGAACCTCCCTCAGATTCAACTCCCCACTTACTGCATTAAAACTTTATTTATTAAATATTCTAAAGCAATCAGGACTATAAGAAAGAAACACTCCAAACTGTACATGGCCTAAATATTTGAATTGGAGACCAAACATATTTAATTTGTACTCCACTACTAATATAAACAAAGGGACACAACACATTATTTTAGTTATTGTAATAAAGGTTAAAATAATCATAAAGCAGTCTTGGAACTACTTTCTGAAAAAGTGAAATCCTAAACACTGGAGCAAGCAATGACCAGGCCCTGTAATAAAGCTCCACATTATAACACACATAAAACCAGGAGCGCTCACAAGCTTCAGCATCACCGGAAATAAGAATGCAAATTTCAAGTCAATTAAGAACATGACATATAACAGCAAGAGAACAAAAAAATCATAAGCATGGTAAGTAATGATGAAAAAAACACAAATTCAATGTAGTTCAGCACCACGGATAGCGACTGGATCATTTTGGTAACCTGTTCTGACCAAACAAGGCCTACAGGTACAGGCTCTCTACAGTAGAACCGCTCATTGAGAGAAAGTTGAGGTTATGAGCAGCATGAACATCAGCAGCGACAGGCTTCCTCTATGTCTGTATGCAGCCAACATTTGGAAGAAGAATGTTTCCAAGATGACTTGGATAATAGCGCGTTG